TTAATTTGTGTGAAGTTTGGAGGTCATTTAAACCAGCTTCCAGAGAATATTCTTGTTTTTCCGCCACTCACCAAACACACTCACGTATAGACTATTTCCTGGTTTCTATGGGTCTTATGTCAAGGATTACAAAATGTTGGTATGACAGTAGGGTCCTCTCTGACCATTCACCAATTTCATTATTGTTTAATAACTCTGATCTTGTTATGAATCCACCTAGGTGGCGTTTTCAATCCAGATGGCTATAGGATAGAACATTTGTTGAATTTGTAGGAATACATATTGACCTCTATTTTAGCATGAATACTAACGAAACCTCTCCAACTGTACGCTGGGAAGTGTTAGGTGTTACAGTTACAGTAATACATTACTTTTTGCTGTAACGAAGTAATGTAACGCATTACTAATGAAATGTGGGTAATATATTACCCGTTACAATGCTCAGTAACGCAGTTACAACACATTTGCGGCCCGCAGGTGCCAGGATACCACGGCAAAACAGAGCCTGCCCAGGTATATCTAAGCAAGTACCCGCCTGTACAGTGGGGTAAGGCGGTCATTTTGCAGCTCGTGGTATACAAATAGACAAGGGCTAGAATATTCATGTGAAAATAGTGCCATATTCTGCCATGCCTGTAGAAATGTTGGGTCAAACATAATGCATACAATAGCACAGATGCCTTCACCACGAATGGCTACAAAAAGATCTCATATCCCAAGCTTATCAACGAGCTAATGTTGCAGCTGAAATGTTCTCCAGGTCACAAAGTCAACCTCACATGATGATGTGATACCAGTTTTCAAGCACAGTAAATATTCTCTTCCCAGAGTATATGATGGGACCAAGGTGATGATTTAGTACATGGTTTTAATAATACTTTTGCTTTTCAATGTTTGCCATTTCAAACCATGAGCTGGTTCAAATCATATTTGCCTTGATTTACAATATGTTCTCATTCCTTTTATCAGTACAGTTTAGAAGCTGTTGTGCTTTTCTTTGCCACAGTCCACTTTGGACTATATGAGATATTTCAGGATTGCACTTTTAACTCACTTGAAATGTTCTCACTTGCTTGGCTTCAAAACATAACAAAGGCCATAATCTGTTCATTGGGGACCATCAATGCTATTTTTCATTGCTGTTGCCGGCCACTATTGCTCATGTAAACCTGCTACTGCTGCACCCCCTGTAATCTCAGAGGCACCTGAGTCATTTTGTTCTGGAACCGGGCCTGTACACGGCCATATTCTAAACACACTACAGAGCCCATTCCCTGTCCTGTTAGTGTTTACTTCCTGTCTGCCTTCTTCTGGTGATTTATCTGACGTCCAGCGCTCCGTCTTTTAACCTCTTTTCCTTTCTCTTTCTGGATCCTCCTTAGCAACCTTCATTATAGTCCTTGACAGTGGTCTGTACTGGATTAACAACATGTCACATGTTAAGAAGTTACAATCAGAATCGAGTATTCAACTCAGCCGTGTAATGCAAGTTGTTAGTAGCCTTAAGGGCCTACACAGTTGTTATGCTACACCACATTGCCCTTCACTGGATGTATAATGAGCTGCACTAAACTACATTTCAGCATTTAAAACACCTAGCCATTCTTTTGCGGTTATTTTGTTGAAAGTAACTAAAAAGTAACTACAGTAGTGTAACTCATTACATTTCAGAGACAGTAATATTGTAATGTAACTTATTACTTTCAAAAGACAGTAATAAGTAATATGTAATATATTACATTCTGGAAGTAACTTGCCCAACACTGACGCTGGGAAGCGTTTAAGGCATACATTAGGGGCATGATTATTAGCTATTCTAGCTCGCAGAACAACGCCTTTAAATCCAAATTAAATTCACTGGAGGGTTGCATTAAAGATTTGGAGGATAGGATTGTTACCCAGGATTCCCCAGAACTACTGGTCCTAAGGACTAAATATAGTGAATTATCGAGTAACCAGACAGCTGCTAGCTTACTAAGATTAAAACAAAGCTACTACGATCAGGGAGAAAAGACGGGTAAAATATTGGCTTGGCGTATTAAAAAATTGCAATCTGAAAGGGCTATCAACAGCATTAAAACAAATGGTAAATTAACAAATGACCCTGCAGAAATAAATAACGCTTTTAAAATGTTTAATGAACATTTTAATACATCCGAACATGAAGATTCAGGCCAACAGAAACATTTTCTAAGTTAATTAGTTTTCCCCACTATTTCAACTGATTCAAAAGGAAAACTAGACCATATCATAGGAACTGACTAGCTTTCAGAAGCCATAACCAGCATGACGGGGGGAAGACGGCTAGTCCAGATGGGCTTCCTATAGAAATCTATAAACAATTTCAAGATAAGCTACTACAACCACTTTTGGATATGCAGTTGGAGTCATACGAAAAGGAGGACCTGCCACCATCTCTTAGAGGGGCACTAATCACTCTGATGCTAAAACCAGGAAAGGACCCCACTGACTGTGCATCGTATAGACCAATCTCACTGCTTAATACAGATAGCAACATGTTATGCAAGACGTTGTCGAGACGCCTAAACAAACTACTGCCTGCCATGATTAAAGATGATCAAAATGGTTTTATTCAGGGAAGGCAAGCTTTTCATAATGTTAGAAGGGTACTAAATATTCTTTATGAAAAAAGAGGGTCACCTAACATGGCACTGCTGTCCTTAGACGCAGAGAAGGCCTTCGACCAAATTGAGTGGAAGTATGTGTTTGAAGTGTTGGAGAGGTTTGGAATAGGCGAAGGCTTTCTCAACTGGATCAGGACGATATATAAGAACCTGCTGAAGTGGTGACAAATAATATTACTTCTACATCCTTCTCATTGTACAGATCTACACGTCAGGGCTGCCCCCTCTCCCCATTGCTGTTTGTGTTAGCAATGGAGCCATTTGCCATGGCTATTAGAGACTCTCCATCTATATCTGGGATCTCAGTAGGTGACTTGGATCATCGAATATCACTTTATGCGGACGATGTTGTTCTTTTTTTTATCAGATCTTTAGTATTCTGTACCATCTCTGTTAGAACTAATTACGACCTGCAAAATAAATATGCATACATCCTCAATACTTTATCTAAATGAACAAGAGAGGCAGCAACCTAGAATACAAACTCCCTGTTCAGCTCATAGAGAAGGATTCACCTATTGAGGAATACAAATCACACCTGAAATGAATGATCTGGTTCCAGCCAACTATAACCCTGTTGTAGACTCTGTGGTAGAATCGCTTAACAGATGGACCTTAATGCCAATCTCCTTAATCGGTCGTGTTAACATCTTAAAAATGAATACATTACCCAAATTGCTCTATTTGTTTCAATCAATCCCCTTACCCCCACCTGAGTCATTTTTTCAAAAATGTAAGAAAATATTTACCAACTTTATCTGGAATAATAGATGCTCTAGGCTCCGTTTTACCCTACTTTACTTGCCTTATGACAGAGGGGGTCTAAAACTGCCCAACCTACGCTGGTACTATTGGGCAGCACAACTGAGAGCAGCCATGTGCTACTTCTCCCCAGGACAAGCTCCAGCATGCTCAGCTCAAGGGTTATCGCTTAGTAGCTATCTTTATTCTTCTGAGCCAAAGAAGCTAGGGAAAAACACAAAAAAAACCTTTCTAAGAAATACCATACACATCTGGCATGAGGTCCAAAGATATATAGGGGACACCCCCACTGTCAGGTTTCACCCCCATATGGGGCAATAGTCAAGTTATACCTGGTAGAGAAGATGCTGGTTTTAAGACTTGGGCGAACAAGGGATTAAGCAGGATTACCGATTTGTACAATGATGGAAAATTAATGTAATTTACTGAAATACAAGAAAAGTATGATATTCCTTCTAAGCACTTCTTTAAGTTTTTACAAATAAGACAATGTATCTCTGTATCTCAAAACCGCTCACTTACTCAGCCACCTCTCTCAATGTTGGAACTTAGACATTACAGTTATACACGTGGTCGGTAGAGGCCAGCTATCGCTGCTCTATCAAATCTTTGTAGACAAGTCACCTGCATCTTCAGAAGATAAACTTAAAAGCTGGAGGCTTGATTTACAAGAGGAAATCTCTGAAAAAGAATGGTCTGAAGTGTGCCTGAAGGCTCAAACACAAACAATCAACACACAGCTTAAGTTGATACAATACAATTGGATTTTAAGAACATATATAACGCCATCAAAACTACATCACTTTAATCCCAATACCCCGGACACCTGCTTTAAATGTAACGATGCTAAAGGATCACTCTTTCACTGTTTGTGGGAATGTAATGTGGTCAATAGTTTTTGGAAGGAGGCTCTTAACACGATTAACCAGATAACAAAGCTGAAAATCCCTTGTGCATCCTGGGTATTTATCCAAAAGACTTCTAAGAAGAGTGAGCGTGCACTTATAGACTTGTGTCTTTTACAAGCTAAGAGGGCAATAGCTATAGAATGGAAAAATGTGAACAAACCTAGTATGAATAAATATATTAAGGATCTGTCAGCACGTGTCGCTTTAGAAAAACTAACATACACTACTAAAGGAAAGCTGGCAGTTTTCGAAAATATCTGGGGGAGCTTCATGGAGTTTCTGAAAAATAATGTTTGTAATGATTAATAACACCAAAGACCGGGCGGGGAAGGGGGCAACGGGAATACGATTCTAGAGTGTAGTCGCCCACGTCATATTCTTTCAGATTTTTGTCCTGTATCATCTGTATACTGACCTGTGTTTATTTACATGCCTATTCATTTGATTTTACACTGTATCTGCCACCTAGACTGACCATGTACTGTATGTGTAATGTTCGTTATTGTATGTGTGTGTAACGTCTGTATTTGAAAACTTCAATACAAATATTGTTAAAAAAAAGAAAATAAAAAAGGTTAGTTTATTTATATAGTACATTTTCAGACACCGAGGCAATTCAAAGTGCTATACATCAATATGAACTCACTGATAAAGAAGATTGACCTGGCAGTATATGTGTGTTCAGGTGCACGGCTCTACGTCTCGAGGGGTTAACCTGTGGTCCGGCCTGAGGGGGATGGTCCGAGAGGGGGGGGTCTCCTCACTGTGGAGGGGAAACGGCATCAATGTCCTCAAGATCGCCCCGGAATCTGCCATTAAGTTCATGGCCTATGAACAGGTCAGTGCTTCCAAATAGTCAATACAAATGCTACCAATCTATATTAAAACAAAACAAAAATATAAATTCTTAACACTGTAAATACACTGCCCGTCCAAATAAAAGTGTCAAACTCTAATATTTAATGGACCACTTTTAGCTTTGAGTATGGCACATAGTCGCCGTGGCATTGATCGATAAGCTTCTGCTATGTCACAACATGTATTTCTGTCCAGAGTTGCATTCATTTCCCGCCAAGATCTTGTACTGATGATGGGAGAGTCGCACCGCTCCCTGAACCCCTCATTCACAATGTGAGCCCCATGAATCCTGGCATGTCATCTTGGCATATGCCCGTGCCATCAGGGAAGAAAAACTCTATTGATGTTAGACCTGGTCATTCAGTATATTCAGGTAGTCAGCTGACCTCTCTTTGGGAACATAGCTGAACCTAGACCTGGCCAACTGCAGCAACCCCAGACCATAACACTGCCCCCACAAGCTTGTATGGTAGGCACTAGGCATGATGGGTACATCACTTCATCTGCCTCTCTTCTTACCCTGATGCGCCCATCACTCTGGAACTTAATAAGTGAGAAGCTAAGCACAGCTAGGATTAAATAACTTGTTGCCAGCTAAAACACACTGTCAAGGAGTGAACTCAGAGGCATGAACTCAAATGCACAACTCAGACTCAGGTGGTTTTCAAAAATAAAGACTTTACTGGATTTAGCACAGTAACAAAACAAGGAAACACAAAATCACTCTTTCGAGGAAAAACGAATAGCAATCATCAGGAGCATGAAAATGGAATACGACCATGGAGCAGGCTTGAACGTAGTAATGAATGATAACGAACTGGCACTGGACAGGTGGGGACTAAAACAATATATCCACAAGGTGAGGGACACAGGTGGAAACAATCAGGGCGGGGTAACCAATCACGAACACAGGAGACACATAGGGGCAGGGAGCATGGAGTCCTGAAACGAGAGGGAGAATTACTTTTCACAATAAGACAGAGGGCACAGAACAAAGGGACATGACGAAACTAATATAAAGAATACACTTTCATAATAAGTTTCCGAGACATGACACACACAGTCAGTCACTGCAGTAATTATCCAATGGAAGGCTCTTACTGGTTTTCTTAGTTAAATCGAGTTGGTGACTTGTTTTGGACGGGCAGTGTACACTTTTGTAAGTTGCTTGGAACGTCAAATAGAAATGGCTGTTTAGGGTCATTCCTAATGGCCTTAGATGGAGAGACCCTAACATCTTCCATGGCTGATTCCTTCCTGTTCGTTCTCTACTCTAGATCAAGTGGATGATTCGAGGAAGGAAAGAGGGGGGGGGTTTGAGGGTTCATGAGAGGTTCATTGCTGGCTCTCTGGCAGGAGCCACCGCCCAGACCATCATCTACCCGCTGGAGGTCAGTTTGAAATGTGTAATTGGAAGATTCATAAAATGAGGTTGGATGGCCAATTTGAAATCTCTCGCTCCTTTCTGAAGTTTAAAACTGTTGATTTCACTTTCGAGTAAGGATGTCTGGAGCTGCTTTAAGTTTAGCATTCTGACCATCGGCTCCCTACTCATTCTCTCAATGAGCGGATGGACAATGGAAAATCTTAATTTTTTCTTTGTATATGAAAGAACAGAAAAATGTAGATATATCTCCTTGTCCGATTGAAGATTACTCTCTTGCTCCCTCTTTAACGTGTCTCTCCCGCTCTGTTGATAGGTTCTGAAGACCCGTCTGACTTTGAGGAAGACGGGACAGTACTCGGGGATGGCTGACTGTGCCAGACAGATCCTGACGAGGGAGGGGGTCCGGGCGTTCTACAGGGGCTACCTGCCAAACACACTGGGCATCATCCCCTACGCTGGCATCGACCTGGCAGTGTATGAGGTGTGTGTGCCTGCAGTTTGATTTCCTTTTACATGTTATTCAGCCACTCTTCCAAAATAAGTACATTTTGGTGGTCACTACACAAGAGTACCATAGGGTCTTGAACTCATTATAAATACAATTCTGGTTTTGTTCAAAGTATATCAATGCCCTCAGAAATAAGTCTTTATTTTATACTTTTATTGTCAACAAATCCTATGAAAGACCAAAACCAACAATATATGAGTCTACTTTCAATACTTCTAGTCTTCCCAACCTGTCTATGGCACTCAGTTCTAATTCATTTGTCGTAAATCTTTAAAATCCATAACTATAGAGTTTAACTAATAAATGTTCAGTTATTTCCTTAATGCAATCTGGAGGGCTAGTGAGTATTTCTTCCAGCAGGACAGTGTGGGATTGAGTTGAAATAAACTCCAGTGTGTTTTTGTCTTCTTGTTTTTGGCCAACAATGGAGCTTTTTGACCCCTGTTTATTTAGTATAGTTTTAGTAATATATAACTATGCAATTAAGCATCAATATCTTATTAATACTAATATACAACTGTATTTATTGTAATTAACATGTTATTATTTCAGTTGAATGTGCACATTTTTATTTTGTACTTCTTATTTTAATTTAAATATTTTGATTACATTTACTTTAATAAATGTTTTGTTTATTTCCTTCTGAATTGAAGCAACTATGAGGAAACCTAATTCCTCTCCTGGATAGATTAAAGTATTCTGATCCATTCTTCCAAGAACATTCAAATCAAATCAAATCAAGTTTTATTTATAACACCATCATTGCAATATACTGTCCAAATACAAACTGTTCAGTTTTGATAGTCTTGTTCTACTTTCCCGAGTTCGATTGGTATTCAGAATCATTCACAATTCTACAACACCACCGTTGAGGGGCTTTTTTCAGTTTTGCCGTGAGCAGAGTTGCAGAAACTCCAGATCTTCATCAAATGCAGATCTAACCATCCCTCTGGGACGATCAGCATTTTCGTTTACGGCCATCAAGCACTGGAATACTCTTCCAGTTGAACTTAAAACCTGTACTGATTTTAACTTGTTTTCATATTGTGCAAAAAAAATGATATTAAGCAACCAATCATGCCAACATTAATTACACTGTAATCTGAGTTTTTTTTTATTTGAACTGTATTGTCATACTATATCTTAGATATTTTATTTAAGTGTATTTGAAGTGTACTAAGTATTATGTTCGTAACCTGAATATAAATCAGGCTTTGTAATTATTTGAGTGACCGAGATCATGTAATGTTATTATGTTTATTGATTGTTATGAACCTGTCTGAGGACCACAGATGGAAATGAGCTATTAGCTATAATCTGGCATATTGCATCTCTTCTCTTTGCTGAGATTAATGTTTTGTATGCATGGTCCTTCTATAAATAAATACAAATATATAGCACATTTATAAACGATTTTTGGTCAAGCCAAAGTGCTGTACATATAATAAAAATAGCCTCCAGTAGAGACACTTTACAGCAAATACAACAGCACAGATTGTTCAGAATATCAGTATGAGAAAAACGACCCCCTCTGTCCTTAGACCCTCACATCGTATAAGGAAACACTTCCAGAGAAAACCCACAGTTTAAAGGGAACATGGGAGAAACCTCAGAGAGAGCAACAGAGGAGGGATCCTCTCCCAGGACGGACAGACGTGCAATAGATGCCGTGTGTAAATCGAAGAGATAATACATTTTACAGCATATAGACCGAATGTTAGGAAATGCATGTGTCTGTAATAAGAAGATGAATCCACGAGGATGTCAGCTACAATCCTGTGGAAGCCATCAGGGAAGCAGCATGACGAGACCCAAGGCAGGACCGCAGAGACAGGTTCAGCCACGACCCGAAACGTCCACGACTTAATCCAGAACTCAGGATAGAGGATCCAAGACACAGGACTACAGCAAGAGGATCAGCCTCGACTCCGGATCCCGGCGTAGATATAGACACAAAACAAGAACAATTTTGGCTGGGTTAATTTGAACAAGAGAATACACAGACAGACAGACAGACGAAAGAACAAGCACTCCCTTAGAATAGGTTGAGGGCAAAGGGTAGCAAGTGAGAGAGTAAGAAACATAGGTGGAGAGGCACACTCAGTGAACAACGTCCCCACTGGAGCCTTAGTTGGAAATTGATGAGAGATAGGGAGGTACGCTGTGTCTACGAATCGTAACACTCCCCAGCCTGTCTAAGACACTCTGCAAACTGTTTCCCTCTAATAAAACCTCGAGAGGTTAGAGAGGGAAAAGGTCTTGGGTAAAAGTTATTCTTGATAAGAGAAGCCTAGAAGGCCAGAGAGAAAAAGTGAGTTTTAAGTGTTGATTTAAAACCCCCAGGGTCTGGGCCGACCTCACATGGAGGGGCAAAATGTTCCAGAGCCTGGGGCCAGCTGCTGCGAATGCTCGGTGCCCTCGGGTTTTGAGCCTGGTCTTAGGCACTATCAGCAGCAGCTGGTCAGCCGACCTTAAGGCTCTGCCTGGGGTGTAGCGATGGAGGAGTTCGGCTATATAGGCAGGAGCCAGCCCATTTAGGGCTTTAAAAACAAATAAAAGGAGTTTAAAATCTATTCTGAATCGAACTGGAAGCCAATGTAATGAGGCCAGAATTGGGGTGATGTGGTCACGCTTTTTATGGCCAGTCAGAAGACGTGCAGCTGTATTCTGAACTAGCTTCAGGCGTCTAATTGAGGCCTGGTCCATACCCACATACAGAGCAGTAATTCAGTCTCGAGGTAACAAAGGCGTTAATGACCCTTTCTAGGTCTGTTACGTTCCCTCTTGGCTAGGGGTACAAAAGGGAAACGACACGACCAGATTGGATTTGGTATATGTTACCGGTGGTTTTATTTGTAACGGCAACGGAGTAAAATGATGTACAAAAACAGCTAGGCCCAACAACGGGTCAATCTGTCACTATCTCACAACAGGGTCTCCAAAAGAGAGTTGCCCAGTACTATACAAAAGGAAAGGAAATACCTCACTTCTAAAGTGGAAACAAAACAATAAACAAAACAGGACTGTGGGAAAACACAGCTGGTGCGGGTCTACAGGTGTTAATCACCTGGATCTACGCAATATACCCACAGGAATGCTGGTCTACAGGTGCTAATCAACCTGGATCTAAGCAATATACACACACAAACCCTATACTAACACAGAACCCGACGACACGCTGCTAATCAGTGTGCTCTCCCAGAAACCCTACTGAATACACTGCTAATCAGTGTAGCTAACACAAAATGCACACGGCTAAACAGTCTCAGAAGTCACAGAACGAAGGCAATGTCACAATGCGAGGGTTGAGGCGTCTGTCACACAATACAGAGCCTCCCGAATGGTAACCGTGCCCAGCCTTTATACTCCTCCCCCGGATGACGTGGCAGAAGCGGGCAGGGCTTGGGTGACGTCTGTCCAATCCCCGCGGATGTTGCGAGGTCGAGACGGCCACTGACAGCATAGGAACTGCCCCGCTCATTTGCATACACACACAAACAGAGTTAAAGGCACAAGGTAGCAGCGGCTGTAACACCCCCCCCCCCCCCCCCCCCCCTTAAAACACAAACCCCACAGGGTTTTTGTGAACCTTAACACATCACAACACCATGACCACAGAACACATCATTCCAGTCTGGACAGGGCATCTGCGAACACATTCTCTGAACCTTTCTTGTGGCAGATTTGCAGGTTGTAGTCCTGGACGATCAGAGCCCACCGCATGAGACGCTGATTGTGGTTGTACATGCGGGACAAAAAGACAATGGGGTTATGATCGGTAAACACTGCAACCGGCAAATAACTGGACCCGACATAAACCTCAAAGTGCTGGAGAGCTTACAACAAAGCAAGGGTCTCCTTTTCAATGGTAGAGTAGCGGACCTGGTGTTTGTTGAACTTACGGGAGAAATAGCAGACAGGATGATCAACTCCATCCGCATCCTCCTGCAGTAAAACAGCACCAGCCCCCACTGCACTGGCATCCACCTCGAGTTTAAAGGGTTTAGCAAGATCGGGAGCAGCAAGCACAGGAGCGTGACTTAGAAGTGTCTTTACACACTCAAATGCATGTTGGCACTCAGGGGTCCAAACGTAGTACACCTTGGGACTTATCAACTTAGTTAGGGGTTGGGCCACAGTGGAAAAATTACGGCAGAAACTGCGGTAGTAACCGGCCATACCTAGGAAACGGCGGAGATCACTCCTGGTGCCGGGCACCGCACATTCAGCCACCGCAGTAACCTTAGCTTCCACTGGTCTGACTTGGCCTTGCCCAACCTGCTTCCCTAAATAGGTGACAGTAGCTTTACCAAACTCACATTTGGCCAGATTCAAAGTAAGCGACGCCTGTGCAAGCCGGGTGAATACCTGCCCCAGGATCTTCATGTGCATCTCCCAGGTGGGCGTGTACACAATGAGATCATCTAAATAAGCGTTACAGTTACTTATTCCGGAGAGGACAGTATTCACCAATCTTTGAAACGTAGCAGGTGCATTACACATACCAAACACCATGACTGTGTACTGCAGGAAACAGTCAGGTGTAGCGAAAGCGGAGATCTGTGGGGCACGGTCCGTTAAAGGTACCTGCCAGTAACCTTTAAGTAGGTCCAATTTACTGACATACTTCGCAGAACCTAAATTGTCGATGCAATCCTCCATTCTTGGCAAGGGGTAGCAATCTGTCACCGTAACAGCGTTCACCAGCGTTCACCTTCGTCTGTGATAAAGCGTAGAGAACCATCAGATTTCGCTTCTACAAGACACGGCGAACACCATGGGCTAGAGCTCTGTGTCGCCAGGCCATTTGATACAAGATATTCAGCCTCCTGTTTCATAAGCTCGCGCTTGGACGGATTGGCACGGTACGGATGTTGTTTAATCGGCCTCGCGCCTTTTACATTGATGTCATGCGTTATCACATTACATTAGTTTGTGTCGGGACATCATGGAAAAGGCACGGGAAACGATCC